ATAGGTTTGGCAAGTGCAAATTGTGTCCCAAATATTTGGATGGAAGACCATTTATCAAGTACCACAATATTCATCTGATGCATCTAAAACAGTTGCAGTTGCTGCCATCGCAACTGCAGTTGGTGACAGAATTGCAGGTGCAACCACACTGCCTGTGACATCGCTGCTAGTAATGTTGAAGGTAGCTACTTGCACCAAAGGACATTACTTTGGATGCCAATCAAGCACTGCCCCACTCCCAACACTTCACGGGCCACTCTGGGAGCAGGGCGGTGAGTGACTTGTCAAAAGGGGTGGGTATTAGAGTGACAAGTAAAAGTGATATCAAGAAACAGTTGGAGACACCGAATACTGCAAAGGCTACGGGGCCTGACGACATTCCGGCCATAGTACTGAAGATTTGGGCTCCAGAACTTGTTACTCCCCTAACCAAGCTGTTCCATGCACAGTTACAACGCTGGCATCTACCCAACAGTATGGAAAATTACCCAACTATGTCCTGTACATAAAAAGCAGGTCAAATTCAACCCAGCAAACTGCTGCCCCTACTCTCGATCATCAGTAAAGTAATGGAAGGTGTCATCAATAGTGCTATCAAACAGCACCTGCTCAGCTATAACTTGCTCAGTGACGCCCAGTTTGGGTTCCACTAGGGCTACTCAGCTCCTGACCTCATTACCACCTTGGTTCAAACATGGACAAAATAGCTGAATTCAGAGGTGAGGTGTGAGTGACAGCCTTTGACATCAAGGCTGCATTCAACCGATTGTGGCATCAAGGAGTCCTAGAAAAACTGGAATCCATGAGTGTCATGGGCAAACTCTCCGCTGGCTGGAATCATACCTGGCACAGAGGAAATTGGAGGTCAGTCATCCCAGCTCCAGGACATCTTTGCAGGAGTTCTTCAGGGTCATGTCCTAGGCTCCCATCCATCTTCAGCTGCTTCATCAATGACTTTCCCATCATCAAAGTAAAAATGATCACCAATGATTGCACAATGCTCAGCATCTTTGCTGACTCCTCAGATACTGAAGCAGTCCACATTCAAATACAAGATCTGAACAATATCCAGGCTTGGGTTGATAAGAGGCAAGTAACATTCGCACCATAAATGCCAGGCTATTACTATCTCCAGTAAGAGGCAGTCTAATCCACACTCTTTGACATTCAATGGTGTTACCATCACAATCTCTCACTATCAACATCTTTGATGTTACCATCGATTAGAAACTCAACTGCACTTGCCACATAAATACAGTGGCTACAAGAGCAGGTCAGAGACTAGAAATACTGTAGCAAGTCACCTCCTGACTCCCCAGATCATGTCCAGCAACTACAAGGCACAAGTGAGGAGTGAGATGGAATACTCCCCATTTGCCTGGATAGGTACAGCTCCAAAAACTCGAGAAGCTTGGCACTATCCAGGACAAAACAGCCTGCTTGATTGGCACCACATTCACAAGCATCCACTCCCTCCATCACTGACACTGAGTAGCATCAGCAGTGAGAACTATCTACAAGATGCACTGCAGAAATTCACCAAAGATCCTCAGACAGCTCATTCCAAACCCATGACCACTTCTATCTAGAAAGACAAGGGCAGCAGATACATGGGAATACCACCGCCTTCAATTTCCCCGCCAAGCCACTCACCATCCTGACATGGAAATATATCACTGTTCCTTCACTGTCGCTGGGTCAAAATCTTGGAATTCCCTCCCTAGTGACATTGTGGGTCAACCAAGAGCAGGTGAACTGCAGCGGTTCAAGTGGGCAGCTCCCCACCACCCTCTTCAGGGCAATTAGGCAATAAGTGCTGGCCAAGCTGTGACACCCATATCCCACAAATAAATTTTAAAAAAGCAAAGACATAATCAAGGCAATGAAGGCGGCAGCAAGTGAAGCAGTGAAAAGGACAGTGAGGTGGATGTAAGTGAGGTATCAGGCACTCCGCCGATAATTGTCACACAACGATGACATCAATAGCACTGCACATTTACGGACTGAGTGCCAAATTCCATTTCCGATTGCACACTGATTACATCAGCAGCACCGACTTTCTGTTTCAGTAGGGCGGCATGAGGTACAATGTTTAAAGAATATGCTAATTTTCTCAATGTCTGGGGAAGGCTTACATTCCATCTCTGATTTTCCTAGACCATCCTATAATTGGGCTTTTTGTGCTGTATTCCAGGTCAAGCCTGGAATGTAGTTTCTCCTAGATTTCTGAAGTCCAGATTGGCCTGCTTTATGCTTAAGTTCCAGGTTTGACAGATTCACAGCGGTTTGTGGGACCCTGCAGTGTGCAAATGGGCTGTGTCCAAATTCAATGTCCACATTTCATTAGCTATAAAGATTTCCAGAGGTTCCAGGCTTATATTGCCACCAAGTGACCAAATCTCTGAGGGACCAAAAGTGAAAATGATAAGTTGCATTTAAAGGAGGTTTTCTTCTTGAATTCCTCATAGGAAAGAATACACAACAAAAAGGGGGAGAGGAATATAGGGCGGAGTATAAAGATCCAGAATGAGAGAAGGCTTGTGTTGAGTATAAACATGGTTACAGGCCAGGTAAGCTAAAATAGACTGTTTTTGTGCTGCTGATACTATGTAACAGTCCTACGTATGGCAACTCACATATGACATTTCCCATCTCAAATTGAATCAGTTGAAGATATTTTTCTCTTCCACCAGAGAGGATTCAATGTTAACACTGATGCTGTCAATTTATTAAACATCTGAAACATTTCTCACATTTCGCTGTCAAAAGATAAAACTATCACAATATCTTGGAACTGCACTGTTACATGGATGAAGGTAGTGTTAAATATTTGTTTAAAATCATCAAATAATGGAGGTTACTATGTTGTTAGTAATACAGACTCATAAGTGTTTGAAACAAAAGCAAAATACAACAGATGCTGGAAATCAAAAATAAGGGGAAAAAAAACATGGGTGATACGGTGGCTCAGTGGGTAGCACTGCTTCACAGTGCCGAGGACAAGGGTTCGATTCCACCTTCCGGCAACTGTCTATGTGGGATTTGCACGTTCTCCCTGTGCCTGCGTGGGTTTCTGCTGGGTGCTCTGGTTTTCTCCCACAGTCCAAAGATGTGCAGGTTAGGTGGAATGGCCATGCTAAACTACCCATAGCGTTCAGGGATGTGTGGGTTAGGTGCATTAGCCATGGGAAATGCTGGGGTAGAGAGATAGGTGGGTCTGGGTAGAATGCTTTTTGGAGGGTTGGTGTGGATGGCGGTTTCCCCACTGGAGAGGTTCAATGGAAAACAAAATTCTGGAAACACTCAGCAGCTTCGGTAGCACCTGTGGATACACAAAATAAGTTAACATTTCAGGACTGTGACTTTTCAGTAAGTTCATTACCTTCACTATTTTTTTGAAAATAGAAGCCTTCCACTTGTACAGCATTTTTAGTCTAGAAAGACTTCCCAAAGTGTTTCAAAGTAGTCAAACAGGAGACTACTGAGGAGCTCAATGTGCTTACCTAAAGTATAACCGAAAAGGTGAGTGTTTAGATGACTTTTTACAAGTGGTAATGGTTCCGCAAGGGAGGATATTCATGCACTGATTTCCAGCGAATGGAGATGCCATTGCAACAGGTGGATATGTGGTGCAGTTACATTAGTAAAAATCAAAATAAAATTTGAAAAATGCTCCAATTGCACTTTTGGGTTGAGGGCTATCATGGGAAAGGAATTTCCATGTCAGGAAAGAATTCACTCAAAGTACTGACTAGGATGCATCACCACATTTGGTCACAAATCTGATGACAAAATGATTGCTCCCACAAAGTGATATTTTCTTAAAACTTACGGGCAGTTTGCATTTGTGTTAAATAGCTGGTACCGGGAGAGGGAGTCAGAAATCCGGGCTTAGCTCATATGAATCCCTGCCGGATGAGAAAGTTCAAATATGTTTACACAACTGACACAGATAGTGATATCTGATGGTTAAAGGCAATTGAAAAAGGTTTTCTGTAGGATGCAGCAATGAATCATTATACTGAACCGGCTTCCAAATTATATCTTTGGAGGTAACACGCACAGATTTGCTGAAAAGTTCTTATTCACTTCTGATGGATTCTTTTAGAGTCAATGCACCCAGGGAGCATGTTGCCAAGTTGCATAAATTCGAATTAACCCCTGCTTTGGGCTGTAACTATTAGTTAATTATGCACATGACCAACTGTCTCCTCCAGTCTGAATCTCAACAATAAATACAAACTCTTCTCCTATTAAGCCATCACTGATGTCCAGGCTTAGGCATATACAGCAAGGGCAAATAAGGATCCACGAAGGAACACAGGTGTACTTTCCTTAACTCAGGTAGTTACTGAGTTTCACTGTTTACTTAGAAACACATGCTAATATCAGTTAAAGAGTTGATAAAACTACATAAAAAGCTCAGAAGTCAGAAATTTTTCAATTCACTTCTGCCTGATGAGCTAGGAGCTCTTCGACTCAAAGGGAGCAGGCTAAATAAATATTAGAAACAGCATTTGAATACGGCAGTCAAGGTGTAGTCAAACAGGTATATGAATACAGCATCGTAAATAAACAGAGACAAAAAGAAGACCCACTGAGACATGCTGTAAGATGATGCAGTAGAGGCTTATTGAAACTGTGCCATAACATAAAACAGGAAGGGGAAGGCCCTGGCAGAAAGTTTTCCCATGGACATTACATGAGAACAGGCCATGCTGCCCATGCTGACGATAATTAAAATCTTGAAAGACATGATTGTTTACGTCCATAAACACCAGCTGTGTGTATGTATTTGTGGAGACAACTGGCATCTTTGGAGCAAGAATGAGTGCAGAGAAAAAGGATGTCAACTGTAAGAGGTAGGTTCAAAGACTAAAATTGCAAGCTGGACAAGAGTAAAATGCGTTTATAAAGAAAAACTAACATCTCATCACAGCAGAATAGCCAAAAATTACTGACAGAATTAAAGGGCTGTGAAAAGACCCACGTAAGCCTACCTGAGAGATATGATTAATTGACGATTCCATGCGTCGGAGCTGGGATGCCTGGATATCCAGCATCTGAAGGACATTGTTTGCCAAGGTGTTGATCAGGTAGGCCACACTTGCTAGCGACTGGGTCGTGTAAGCTTTGGTTTCCTCGAGAGCGCGTTGTTTATCTGTCGCCTTTTTGAAACATAAGGCAAATTAACAAAAGCTAACCAAAACATATCAAGTATGTAGAAAGGGTGCATGTGAAACAAAATAGCAAACAAATATTACAGTCATTAACTGAAAGGAGAGACTGTGGAATGGGCACCCTAATGAAAGGTTTGCCCCAATCTACCAACTTGTATTTTTATTCCGTGAGCCCTATAACTCAAATATACTTTTTATAAAATGATTACATATAGCCGAAAGGCTATTCTCATGATTGTGTCAGAGCCGGATGCCCCACAATGAAATTTGGGGGATGTTGCCAAATTGTGGCCAGGCATCTGCCTATACAAGACAAGAGATGGCAGGAACATTTCGATCACACCCAAGTCATATCCCAAGACACATAGCAAGGTAAAATTACACAAAAATGGATGTGAAGCCAAAGGAGAAAATCTTACCACAGATGAGGAAATTGATGAACGTGAGTTGTTTCTCAGAGGTTATTAAAACGCGAGGCAGGTTGAAGAGGAAAGAGCTTGAAAGAGATCTCCAGACCTTAGAGTTTGGTCTATTGTGTATTGTGATATGTAGGATGTTTAGAGTTTTGGGAACATAAGCTCTCAGAATTCCTGGATGGGAGCACATTATGGGAGATAGGGAAGGACAGGCAGTAGAGTGATTTGAGCATGAGGATTAGAGTTTTTAAATGAAGGCACTGATATATTAGGGGGCAATATATGCCAGTGAATATGACACCAATGGATGTAAGAAACTACAGGTTTGAGTTTGGAACTTTGGATGAGTTCAGGTTTTTGGGTGATAAGAGGTCAACAAGGGAAATACTGAAATAGCCAGGTCCAAAGTTTACGTCACATCCGGCTGGGGATGTGTGTCGGGTATCAAGCACTCTGCTACTTCCAGAGTCATCACAAAACTTAAAGTTTTTAAAGATATGCAAAATTTCCTAATTTATCTGTCTTTTGATCAGGTAAACAGAAACATGGACCAGGTTTCTGTACTTAAGAAACAGATTACAAACAAACAGATTCAAAACACAGCTATGAACTGTCAATATTTATCTCTACGAGTTAAAATGTTATCCACCTTAATAAAACTTTCCCTACATACACATACAAAAAGACACAAATAAGAAGTGAATGGGTGGAGGGATTCAATGGTCCCTGTCCAACAGGGTTTGCTGAGATGCTCCTTTTAGTTTGCTAGGACTTGTTCCTCAATCTCTTTGGTGCAGGTATTTTAACTTGCTTGCAGGAGGCAGAGAGCAACTGGTTCACAACTTATAAAGTCTCTGACTTATTAGCTAGACCAAAAGCTTACAGCAATTGGAAAGGGAAAATAAACTGGCTTTCTTCAGACCCTAGGTTTCTTTTTACTGCAGAGACAGGGATGCGACTACTTCTGGAGATCCAAAGCCTTATTGCTGTCTTGTTTATACCCTCGAGCTGTTGAGCTGCCTACAAACCAATGACATGGTTGTTGGCAGGCAGAGGGCCTTTATATTCAGCAACTGGTTATCACTCCACAGACCAATCAGCTACTTGTTGCTGACTGAATCTCCCTTTGTAAAAGGGCCTGGTGCCAGTTCGTCTGCAACTGAATGTCTGTCACTGTTAAACAAACAAGTGTAAACAGCGTTTACAATAAGTGCAGTAATCCCTTCTACAATCTTTAGTTTAAAGTAAAGGTATTTTCCCATTTCAGTCCACGATCAAAAACACAAAAATAAAATGATACAGTTATTAAAATGATAAAAAGCATGCTTTATTATCTGTCCTCAGAAACAATCCTGAACAGGAGGTAAATCAAGTTTCCTCCTCTTGAAGGAAGGTTAAGACCCTTTGTATCATATTTGGTCAAAGGCATCATGGCATCCCACAGTACTCACTAAAATCAGTGGCATATTTTCCAACAGTTATTATCAGAGGCAAGTTGACATACTGAATAAATACAATTATCAAACGGTATCAATATTTTCAGTAATTGAGATTTCAACAATGTTTGCACTGAATAATTAGTAACCATGAACTTAAATATCCCAAAATGAAAATTTAGTTTTCCATTCTGTTGTACTTCTTTTTCTTTCTCTATGCTTAAATGTAATTGTTTAAGCAGATAGTGAACATTACTACCTATAGTCTAAGGTCCTCCTTGCACCACTGTTATCAAACTGCACTTCCAGCACGTTAAGTCACAAAAGGTCAAGCTGGAAGATGTAAAAAAAAGCCCCAACTAATGGCAACCCCATGAATTTGTTCTACAGCAGCAAGAATCTCAATAACATAAAACAAAGAACTGTTGAAGTGAAACAAAAACAGAAACTGGAGGAACTGAGCAAATCTGGCAGCATCTGTGGAGAGAAGGCAGAGTCAATTTATATTTTTGTTTCAGTGGATACACACATCTATATCAGCACATAATTCAGAATCACACAATCTGGCGTAAAATATCTGTTGCAAGAGTCTATAACTCCACTGTATTCATCTAATTTGCAATACAGTAAGAATTACTTTAGCATTTTAGTGATGAGCAATTTTAAAGAGCTCCTTCTCTCCCTGCTCCTTGTAACAATATGTGGAGCAGTGAAGTGATAAGAGCTGAAGCCAAAACTTCCTCTACAAGGTCAGATTTCAATACTGTGCCTGAGGCGGATGAGTTCAACACTGTTGCACTGTCACTTGCCACTGAAAACAAAGATAAAGTGTGCATGATTCACAACAACTGCACCACGAGAGAAACTATTTCACACATCCCTTCACTTCAAACTCAAAATTAGGGAATCCTGAGGAAAAAGTGAATCCCGTGGAGAAGCTATATGGACAGCTGCATCATCCAGTGAAGAACTGAGACAATAGGCCAGGCTACTACCAGCTTTGGTTCACATACCCAATAATAATCCGGAAGACCGATGCGAAACAGAAAGATCAGGGGGCAGCAAAAGGAATGCGGAAATTGGCCAGAGAACAAGAAATTTTATCCAGTACAGTCGGTTCTGATATAATAGAAGAGTTCTGTTTTCATGTTATAAGAAAATTGTGCAATGGCCGCACCACTTAAACTAACGGAATCGCGTATTAGCCAATACAGGTAAAGAAAGTTCGCGTTCTACAAATAGCAGTCTAAATTCTTCAATCACGTTAAAGCCAATTTGCATCGAAGAAACACACATTATAGCAGAACCGACTGTATCTCTTTTTGAGAAGCATATTTGTATGAACACTCCAAACAAAGTCAGATTGAGGTTTGTCTGCACCACCCAAATAGCTAAAGCAACATTTCAGTGAGGTATTCTTCCCTGGAATGGCCACTTAAGTGAAGCATCTCTAGAACTGTACTTCAACGTCACCTGCAGGCTAGATCTTACAAGAAAAATAATGTGTCAAAGACATATGCTGTTATAAATATGCAAGGTGGGCAGCAGGTTCATGGGATTAAAGACTTACAGTCAACTTAAGACGAGTTAGGTAACTACACTGTTGGCTTCACATCGATGAAACTTCCCCATTAGCCTCCTAGACTTCTATAAGGCTGAGAGTCTGAAAGGGTTAACACTGAGGAGTACATTAAGCAGCAATGTCGTCACGTGGACTCGGGCACAGCATGACCTAACACTGAGGTCTCCTTGACAGACATTATTACTAAGGTTATCATACCAATATAATTTGTATACAGTTGCTATCATTCCATCAATAAGCTACATTTTTATTAGAGAACAGCCACTTCTCATTAGACTATCATTCCGTTGTCATCTACCATACTGGACCAAGCAGGCCCTGTGATGCCTACTGGGAAAAGGGAATGCTGGCAGCAAATCTCAGGTCGACTTTAAAGCTTGATGGGGATTCATCTTACAACACTAAGAGATACACATCAGTTTCCAGTAAACTAACTGGAGCATATTGAGGCAGGAACCTATGTGCAATTACCTTTTTAGCAACATGATAATCGTTAATCGTTCTGAGGAAGGGTCACCGGACCCAAAACGTTAACTCTGTTTTCTCCTCCACAGATGCTGCCAGACCTGCTGAGCTTTTTCAGCAACTTTGTTTTTGTTCCTGATAATCGTTAATGGTCTACCAATTGACGTGTTTCACTTAGAGAGGGAATTTAAACTGTGGAGAAGAGTCTTGTGGTGCAGTGGTACCTGTCTCTATCTCTGAGCCAGAAGGTCAGAATTCAAGTCGCACCTGTCCCAGAGGTGTGTCATAACATTTCTGAACAGGTTGATCCAAAATTTTTAAAATGTAGAATCTCATTCCTGCATGCAGCCAATTGTTGATTTTTTTAAGAAAATGAATTTATTTCTAAAAAAGTTTTTCTCTGCTTCTTTCTCTCTCATTGCAATATTTCTTTCTGTATCTTAGTCCACAGTGAATTCATCAACAAATTCAACCTGCTTCTTTAACCTTCTTCATTCTCTTTCTTACCGCTTAAGCAGATGGACAGTAAGGTCCTATTTCTCTTCACTATGCCATTATTAACTTGAAATTCCAGAAAATTATGTAAAAGAAAGGCTCCAACAAGATCCAGTAATGCAGTGTTGGTAGGAGCAGGAATAAGGAGGAGATGAAGGCCTTGTAAATGGAACAGCCAACACTCAAGAGTGAGTCTCCAATACTTTACTGATGGATAAATATTGGAACAGGGTGGGAAAGGAATGAAGATAGCTTTAAGAGAGACAGTGTAAATTTTTTTAAAAATCTGACTGAGCCATTGGCCTCATATAGATTGTTTACTGCTCCTGCTGAAAATTGTAACATTTTAGCAAACCTTGTCTGGGTATTTTCTCAACCCAAAGGATTTACATTTCTTCAGAAATCCCACACAAACCTCTTAACAGTGCCCCTGCACAAAACCAAAGCAAGCTTCAGAAGCAGTATCTTACTCCCTGGGCACCTCTGGTCTGAATATTCACTGATTAACTGTAGCAATATCAAACCTAAACCATAACAGGGAGGAGAGTGATTGTAGGTGCATATGGTGGCAACATGCGAGAGACGGGGTGGAAG